AACGTGTCCACTATTTTTATTCCCCATTTTATTTCGATCTTGTATTTAGTTCATTGGTGCCACCATGGTCAGTCCTCCTTTGAATTTGCCTATGTTGTTCTCTTTATGCTTCTAGTCTGGTATCCTATGTGTCACTTCTTAAATTCCCATTGCGTTTATTTTCAGAAGATCTCTAAACAGTGGAATTCTTCACCTCCTCAGCCTTGCCTTTCTCTTACAATTGTTGAGATTTTAGAACAAAGTTGCTGCTCTAACCTAAGTTGGAAACCTATTTCTGTTTTGTTACTAAGACCACATTTTTCTACTAACATTTCCAGTTCTCTCCTAAGACTTTCATGATTTAATTGATACCTCCATTGGTTGACATCTGCCTCCTGAAGGATTTACCAGCCAACTTCCCACCTTCACTTCCTCAAAATTACTACTTATTCAGAATGCTGTGATTCATGTCTTAGCTTGCTTAATACCGTGAATACCGACCAGATTTATTCTTGTCAGATTTCAGTGATTCATGCTTGTGCAAATTATTTTCAAGGTAATTAATTCCAATTTCAAATGTCTCTGTGGCTTCACACAAGCCTCCCTCAATGACCTTGTACAGCTCTATGCTTCTATGTATGAGCTTTGTTCTTCTATCACTGTTGACATTTCCTAGCCATCTCATTACAATTTGGTAACTGTTATTTCAACTGTTACATGAAAAAACTGCATCACCTGTCTCCTTGCAAAGAACATCCATCCTCCAGAACAAGCATTGAGCAAAACCAAATCAGAAAGAAAGGAATCTAGCCGAGAGAAGCATTCATTCAGCCACAGTTGTTTAAGTTACCACTGGAAACCACTAGCTATTACCATATTTCAGTCACTGGTCAGCTGGTGAGAGACAATCATGTGCCAAGCCAGTTAACACTCTTCTATGTTTGAGAAACTGTTTCTCTGGGCACAGGTAGAAGCGGAAAGGATACTAAAATGCCAAGACTTCTTCGTGAGCCTTCTCCTCTCTTTCCACACAGCTTACAAGTCCAAAACCTGTTTGCTGTTTCGCTATCGGTGTGCCACAGATGAAAATTATAAAGTGCTGAATTCAGAAGCTGCTTTCACCCAAGAACAGATAAACCATTTGTCGATATCTTTAAATCGTCTCAATGCTAAAACTAGAAGGGCAATAAGAGCAGCCTGGATCCACCAAAGTCACAAAAATCATATTAATTTAGCCTTTACTGAGTTTTAAAATTGGCCCCTACTCTATTCTCCCACTTTGTTATCTATTTTTGCATGTGACAATCCGAATATTTATATGTGCATGAAAGTAGGAGTGCTTTTATTATTTTAATTAGACCCAGTTGAGTACAATAAATATTAGTCTCTTTTCGGTTCAAAGCTCAAGAAAACCTGTCTGTTTGAGCCTTTTATAGTCACAGCATATAAACAGTTAATCACTTACTGAAATGTTAACCATATCCTTTAAAAAAAATCTGCAGTCAAACATGGATTGGGAAAGAGGGTAGCCAACCCCTTCTCAGCTGATCATAACGACTCCAATTGGAAGTTTTCGAATTGTACGCTCTTCCAAAGTATAGCAATTCCAATCTCGATTCAGTGGTGAACAGCTGCCTAGCTAATGTGGCAAAGGTCACCAGATGTTACCTGGAAGGATCCAGTCATAAAGAAATTCAAGGCAGAGGTCACCTTAACTAATAGAAATGATGTTTTCTCGGGAGAAAGTAGGCTGCACATCTTCAGCCAGCTGTTGATAAATCTCTCTAATAGTCTCTTGGGGAAGCATAGCCTTCCGTCTAAGTAAAATTTTTTTGTTCTTTCAACATTGCTGAGCGGGTACATGAATACACGAACTGAAAGCTTGCATGAAGCCAGATTCTGTGAACTTCAAAACTAGCCTCTTCCATTGACTCGCTTCTTCCTTCTCCATAGCATAAGAATACAAAGATTTCTATTGCAAAGTCCTGTGGCTGGAACTAAGTTCAAATAAAAGCAAACATCCTGACTGAACCTCTTAACATATTTAAAAAAGGACAGATTTCAGGCAAAGCATACTACCTTCAGTAGCAGCATACAGAAAACTTCTTCAATGTGGTAACCGCCTCAGATCCATCTTCCCCCAGCCCCTCTTATCACTATTTGCTGGTGGTAATCATTTGGAATGGATTTGGGGAGAAAGTTTGACAAAATGGATCAGAGGATTTTGCCACGTCTTTGACCCCATTTCCTTTATTCATTCACGGAATGAGGGTGTCGCTGGCTAGGCAGCATTTATTGCCCAGCGGGCAGTTAACAGTCAACCCCATTGCTGTGGGTCTGGAGTCACATGTAAGCCAGACTTGGTAAGGATGGCAGATCCTTTCCCTAAATCCCTACATCCCTAGCAGCACAGCAGATTAACAATGACTTGATGCTTGGCATCAGAAACTTTTTGGGCACCCTTGCAAACCTATTTTTTAATTCATTTGTGGGATGTGGGTGTCACTGGCTGGCCAGCATTTATTGCTCTTCCCTACTTGCTCTTGAGAAGGTGGTGGTGAGCTGCCTTCTTGAACCACTGCAGTCCATCTGCCATGGTTTGACCCATAATGCTGCTAGGGAGGGAATCCCAGGATTTTGATCCAGTGACAGTGAAGGAACAGCAATATATTTCCAGGATAGAATGGTGAGTGGCTTGGAGGGGAACTTGAAGGTGGTGGTGTTCCCATATATCTGCTGCCCTTGTCCTTCTAGATGGAAGTGGCTGTGGGTTTGGAAGGTGCTGTTTAAGGAACTTTGGTGAAATTCTGCAGTACATCTTGTAGATAGTACACATTGCTGCTGCTGAGCGTCAGTGGTGGAGGGAGTGGATGTTTGTGGATGTGGTGCCAATCAAGCAGGCTGCTTTGTCCTGGATGGTGTCAAGCTTGTTGAGTGTTGTTGGGGCTGCACTCATCCAGGCAAGTGGGGAATATTCCATCATATTCCTAATTTGTGCCTTGTAGATGGTGGACAGGCTTTGAGGAGTCAGTAGGTGAGTTACTTGCCACAGTATTCCTAGCTTCTGATCTGCTCTTGTAGCCATTGTGATTATGTGGTGAGTCCAGTTGAGTTTCTGGTCAATGATAACCCCCAGGATGTTGATAGTGGGGGATTCAGTGATGGTAACACTGTTGGATGTCAAGGGGTAGTGGTTAGATTGTCTCTTATTCGTGATAGTCATAGCCTGGCATTTGTGTGCCGTGAATATTACTTGCCACTTGTCAGCCCAAGCCTGGATGTTGTTCAGATCTTGTTGCATTTGAAAATGGACTGTTTCAGTATCTGAGGAGTCGCAAATGGTGTTGAGCATTGTGCAATCACTGGCGAGCACCCCACTTCTGATCTTACGATGTTTTCCCTTTTTCCACTGAACTATTAAAATGACATTTGATAGATTCCAGTGAGGAGCTAATAACTGCGGGAGCAGAGGTTTGCAAAGAACAATTGGCAGTGAAAATAATGAATGCCTGTGACATAAATGTTAGAAGAGCAATTCTTCTTTTGATGCTTTCACCACAGATAGCAAAATGGAACAGACACAGATAGCTTTGCAACACTGAACATAGAAGGAACAAATGAATTTGGCTGGAATTTCTTTAGCTTTACTCTCTCTGCATTGACTTTTCCAAAGCTATGTTGGAATTCCTGTTTGCTATGAATATGGGATTTCAAAATAAGCTTTCTGCAAACTAACATCCAAACTATTGTTGTCTTTAACATTTTAGCTTGCTGCTAGTTTCCTTACTTAAAAACAGACTGCTTATTTTGTTTTGAAATTAACTATAATGCACTGTTGCTTGCGCCTTGTTTTCTATGGCATAAGCAATGTGTGACAATCTGATTATTTGCTTCAAGAAAATAATTTGAAAACAGTTTTGCATGAAGGTTTTCTACTGGCCTTATACCAAGCTTAAGGGGAGAATCGGACTCTCCAAAAAGTATAAATTATTGCTATACCTTCAAAATGAAATTCTAGGAATGACTGATGTAGAATATAGCCTCCTGTATTGGAAAAAACAAACAGCTAAATAGATTGGCACCATAACATTCCTTCAAAATAACTTCCAAAGAATACATAATTAATAATTCCATGCACAGGTTGAACCCTTTCATATTCTGTGGTAGTTTCTGAGTGATTAATTTGTTTTCCTTTTGTTCAGTAGGTCAAAGATGTTTGCACTTACAGATATGAATGAGAATTATTTGCTGAATTTAGGTGGGCAATCATGATCATTCTCAATAAAATTAGACAAATGTCTGCATTATAAATTCTTTAAAGGTTGAGATAATTGTGTTATTTATTCAATGTAACCCAGGCAAACTATAAAATAATGGTCTCTTGCTTTTCTGGAGAATAACAGTATTTCTATCAAAGTATTTTGCTGACAGTTATTTGGAAGGAAAGAGTACCACAGGCTTTCCGTTTGCAATTAGCCCACACCTACACATCTGACCCACTTAAAAAAAGATTTCAAATTACTGCTAATCGCACAATTAGTTTCCATTTTTCTGAGGATAATCAAAGCCTATGTACTAGTGTGTTGCTTATTTCAGAAACTGGGGCCAAAGAAAACAATGTACAAAGGGACATATTTTGGAAGAGAAAAGTATCAAATGTTTGTGAACTTACATTCCCAGCACATGAATAAGTACTTGTGAGAAAGCATAGAATATCTGCACAGAGGTCCTTGGGTGTTTTTTTTACAACGAGAAACTGTTTAAATAGCCAAAATATTTTTTAAAAATCAAGCCTATTGTAAATTAATGCTACTGAGATCTTGGATTGAAATCCTTCCATATATTAGTAAGTGGAAAATTGATCAAAGAGAATGTTAGACTAATTATGAAATTCATCACTATACAAATGAGCCTCTGTTAATGCATGAACAATTGTTCTGAAAATGTAATCACAACAGAAGAAAAAACACCAGCAAGACTGAAAGTTTCTAGTGGAGCATTGACTTGTGAGAAAATTGTACCTCATTTCCTAGCAGGGCATAAAAGCAGGCCTCTGACGCATCACAGATGGCAGTAAGATTGTGCCCACCTTCAAGAGCTAAAATTACACGGCCCTTTGCCAAGCTCATTAGCTCCTTTGTCAGGTACTGAAAACCTAAGACAGAGAAAAGAATAAATCTCAACAGTTTTATGCAAATTAGATGTTAATTTACTGTGGTATTCAATATCATTTTACTGTGCAGGCTGTTCTTCACTTTGTAGACTAGTTATTGTGTTCACAATACTTATTGTTTTGTTTAATTTGGTGCAATAGGAAAATGAGTGTTCTGATTCCAAAAATATATCTTTTTTCCAGGGGTTGCCTGTGCTCCACATTACAAGTACTACAGGCCATGGCTAACTCTAAGAAAGTGCTTTCATGTTCTTTTCCTCCTCGTGAAGAATTATGTGGATTCTACTGAATACATCCCTCTGAAGGCACAGCTGAGATCAAGAATTCACCATGGGGCTTGGGCAACTTCCTCTGTACTTTATGTAACTAAAACCATAAATCTGTTACTTTTAAACCCGGCATAAACCTTCAAAAAGGAATCTCCGGGATAATGCATTTGAGTCCAATGTTCTCTGCTATAGAGGTCACAAATTTTCGATACAGCACCATAATTCTACATTGTGATTTTTAAACATCTAATTGGGTATTCACATTGAAAACCAACAGGTCAGTAAGTGTAGAAGTATTTTTATCATTTTCATTTTGTATTAAATTTAAACTTAAAATCAAATACCATTTGTAACATGTAAAATGGTAGATTAAGAGGATTAGCTCTATATATATATACAAACATAAGCTAAATGTTAAATAATTTAATTAAACTTGACTGCAAAACTGAAGCAATAGCTGCATATATTCTGAACTATTATAAAGTACTTTTTTTTCTTATTTTTCTCTCTAATATGTTATTTAATCTAATATGGTGATATTCAGTAGTGGGAAGGGGATATAGGCAACCCAATATTCAAACTCTCAGGACTTATGTATCGTGATCAGTGTAGACCATCATGTTAAAGGGTAAGTTTAAGGGCACCTTTAATAAACAATACACTATCTAAAACAGAAGTCCTTAACATAGAAGCATGGCCCATATTTTTATTACTGTCTTTTGCTTTATTTGCATCCAAATAGGACATCCTTCATTCTGATGTCTCCATCTCACCTAATAACATTCCTCTTATAACATTGAGTCAGAAAGCACCATTGGGAGGTGGGTTATCTGAGTTTTCTTTGTAATGTGAAACCAGCCTGTTTCCTGCAGTCAACTGTTTAAGACTGCAGCTGACAATCTTGGGCTCAAATTGAACTCTCTGTCTCATGCTACAAAGCAAAGTAACAAAGATGGTAAAAACATGTTACATAAAGACTAATGAGCGAGTGGATTGGGATTTCGACAGTTTTGACTGAGTGGTTATGATGCAGCCATAAATTTAAGTATTGGTCTGGATTTGTGTTAGCAATAGCCCTGAAATGTTGAATGCTCACCATTATTTGGTAAAACTGATTGCCAGGTCAGGTATTTTCACAACCATGTTTAAATACAGAAATTCACAAGTTTTCTGATGGAGGTACCTTGTTTCTACAGAAGATGTTCTGTTGCAGTCTTTATAGATGGAATTACATATAAATCAATGATTTGCCATGAATGTTAACTACCTACCATTCTTCCTATAAAGAACAAATAAAAAGTTAAATAAAAATCAAAAGAACTGCGGGTGCTGTAAATCAGAAACAAAACCAGAAATTGCTGGAAAAGTTCAACAGATTTGGTAGCATCAGTGGAGAGAAATCAGAGTTAACATTTCTGGTTGAGTGACCCTTCCACAAAACTCAATTAAAAAGTTAAGCCGTATTCAATCAAGGACTTTGCACACCACGATCAGATCCTTCCTCAGAATTCTCTGATGAGAAGACAACTTCAACTTAGCCCTTCTTTGTAAAAGAATCACTCCAGCCCTTCTGCATCCTCTCCACTGGAATCACATCCTTCCTATAATGCGGCAACTACAATTGTACACAATACTCCAACTGTGGCCTAACTAACATTATTTACAGTTCTATCATAACCTCCTTGTCTTGTATTCAATGCTTTGATTGGTAAAGGCAAGAATCCCACATACCTCCTGAACCTGCATATCCACCTGTCCTGCTGCTTTCAAGAATCTATAGATATGCATGCCAAGCTTTCTCTAAACCCCTGTACTTTCTAGGATTGTACTTTTCAATGCGTACTCTTTTGTATTGTTAGTCTTCCCAAAATGCATCACCTCACACTTTCCGGGATAAAATTTCATTTGCCATTTTTCAGTCCTTCAGACCAGCCATTCTATATTGGCCAGTTGTCTAAGGCTTTCTTCCTTGCTTTTTACCATACCTCCTACATTCAGATCTAGAGCCATTGAGAAGTTAATTTCTTGGTCAAAAGACCTTGATTTTCTTAAGATGTGTGGACAAGATTAGTTACCTACTGGAATATACAATGACTATTTGAATTTCTGATGACAATGAGAGGTAAGTCATATACCTAACCAAGCTTTCTGCATGTTTACTAAGGAGACAGATTCTGGCAAAAGATCACCAGTAACTTTTCTCTCTCCATCTAAGTTTGCACCTTCTTTGGTAAATTTGATCATGTCTATATTTTGGTAAGCAGTGAACTTTAAAATGAGAGTTTAGCTTCCATAAGAATTTCATTCTTTTTCATAAGAACAAGACAACAGCTACAATCTTAAACTACCAGCTAAAGGCAAAAACCTATAAATAATCACAGTCTGACCAGACAGTCAGTTAAAACCAATGATCTCTTATTGATCATCTTTTTATTTAACTTTAACTTGGCCCAAGCTACCCTCCTTAACTCTGTAACTAGTTTTTTACATGTTTTGCTCAAGTCTGTGTGTTCCCACACAACTTGCAAAAGTCAGGATGCATTTTACATTTTTAAAACATTTTTATCTGGTACCTAATAACACTAACCACTTCCTTGTTAATCTGGTTAATCTGAAGGAAAACTGTATGTCTAGTTCATTATAAACTGCACGTAAACCAACAAGTACACACTGAACTGGCAAATGCAACCATTTTTTAAATTCAAAACTCCATTACAACCAAATGAGAAGTGGGAAACCAGGGCTATTCCGTCTCTACTCCCCTGGTCATAACATTCCCAAGTAATGTTTGATCGTTTAACACTAAAAACTTCAGGCTATGAAATCCTGTCAGTCAGTAGTCAATGGTAATTTTTCAGGTTCAGAAGTGGCAGGGCTCGAGGTTGGAAGTGAGCTTCATTGGGCATAATAGTGCTGGACCAGATCCTGCCACCTTCCTACATTTGCTGGGACCCATGTTCTGGGTATGAAAGCTGAGATTTGACGCTTCCACCGCCCCCCACCCTCCTCCAATTGGAGCCCTTATGTGGCCCACGTAGCTGGCCTGAGCTACAATTCTTACAGCTTCAGGCTGGATAATGGAGTCGGCCTACCTGAGTAGGAAACCAGGTCAACAGGTAGTGAGTGTCTGGAGCAGAAACGCAGTGATAAAACAGTAGAATTTGGAAATAAATGCACAGATCATGTTGCTCCTTTAGTTTCAAGTATACGAGATGAGTCGGACCTGTTTATCTCACTTGTCGCTTTTACTAATTTTCTTTTGGTGGACGTGGTGAAAGTGTGATTCCTTGATTTGCACTAATTTGTTCTTAATTGAGAAACTGAATGGAGGGCAGCAGGGTGGCCATTAAGAACCAGCCCTTGTCCTTGCTTCTTGCTCTCTCGGTGCTCTCTCCCCTTGACCACTAACCTCACATACACCGCCAAATAATGCTTACCTTTCCAGTGGACTCCCCTGGGGGTTTCTGGAGGGGTGGAGTGGTATTGCGTCTTCAGCAGCCAAATCCAGCCCCTGGTTCTGCATGTGCAAGCTAATCAGAAGATGGAAGCTCTTGGTGACTGAATTTTCCTGCTCCTGGCCCTGATTTGTCCTAGGGAAGCCACTAAAAACCGATGGTGGGTGTGTCCAGAACTAAGGGTCACAGTATAAGGATTCGGCGTAGACGATTTAGGACAGAGATGAGGAGACATTTCTTCTGAGCGGTGACGCTGTGGAATTCATTACCACAGGAAGTAGTTGATTCCAAAACATTGAATGTATTCAAGAGCCAACTAGATGTAACACTTGGGGCAATTGGGATCAAAGGTAGTGGGGAGAAAGCAGGATTAGGTTATTGAGTTGGACAATCAGTCATGATCGTGAAGAATGGCGGAGCAGGACTGAGGGGCCGAATGGCCTCCTGCTGCTCCTATCTTCTAAGTTTCTATCTTAATCAGTTGCCTGAATGTTAGAACATCCATTCGGGTTCCCATACTTGTTGGCCACAGGCTTCCCTCCAATAAACATAGCTGCTTTTAGATTTAATCCAAAAAATGGGATGGGCCTGGCTTTTTACTGGTCAGTATCCAAGGAGCCAGAATAACCTCAGATGTCTGATCAGATCTGTTAGACAGCACGTGATATCACTGGTTCAACTGAAAGGGACATATTTTCTACAATCGCTCACAACATAAAAAGAAGTTGTTTTAAAAAATTCCAAATAAACTGAAAGGTAAGTCATATTTTTCAAATTCTTATTGTTATTAATACCTACCATTCTTTTTCAATGAATGCTGATTACATTACTCGCTTGCCTTTAAAGAGAAAGCCACTTGGTATTTAGAGGCCAAAGGTGTCACACTTGCAGTTTGGAGATCCAGCAATATCCCCACAGTTCTTTCTAATACAGACAATTGTCCCTAACAGAGGGCATCAGCCATCAGACAGTGGCCAACCTCCCCTGGGATCAAGAGCCCCAAAGCAGAAGTCTTGTGCAGCGGCAGTGGGCAACTGATCAGAGGGCCAGTAGCCTGGTTGAATGGCAGTGCCACTGGGAAGACAATGCCTGCTGCTGGTACATCATCCAGCTGAGGCCTAATACCGAGCCCTGGTTACAGGTAAGGGATGGCAGGAGGGGAGTAGTCTTGTGGTGGAGACCATGTGAGCTGTGTGGGGGATGGGGTGGAGCAGTGTGGTTCCTGTTCCTGATGATCAGTCCTTGATCACGTACCAGG